ATATATATATATATATATATATATATATATATATTACTATGGAGTACTTTGAGAAAATATTACTTTTCCTCCAAGACTATTTATTAATCTCACACAATTGTTTTATTAATTCCTATGCATGATCTATAATTCAAGACATAATCATAATTATTTTTATAAATAACAACTTAAATATAAATATAATTATTTATTATGAATATATTGATGCGGATATATTATTATTATTATTATTATTATTATTATTATTATTATTATTATTATTATTATTATTATTATTATTATTATTATTATTATTTTATTAATATTTAATAAGTGTCTTAGAGAATAAATTAGGAATTTAGTATTATTATTTAATTATAAGAGATATTGTCTTGTTGGACAAGTTAGGATTATGATTATGAGTCTTATTTAAAGGACTCATCATCTATTGTTTTATTTGGACAAGTTAGGATTATGATTATGAGCCTTATTTAAATGACTCATCATCTATTGTTTTATTTAGTTGAATTTGAGAATGAATTAAAATTGTTCGTGTTTTTTTGGGAGAGTATCCCAAGTTCGAGAGAGTATCTCGTTTTATCCTTCCCATTCGTACGCTTTCCCTACATCAGATATTGTCTTGTTGGACAAGTTAGGATTATGATTATGAGTCTTATTTAAAGGACTCATCATCTATTGTTTTATTTGGACAAGTTAGGATTATGATTATGAGCCTTATTTAAAGGACTCATCATCTATTGTTTTATTTAGTTGAATTTGAGAATGAATTAAAATTGTTCGTGTTTTTTTGGGAGAGTATCCCAAGTTCGAGAGAGTATCTCGTTTTATCCTTCCCATTCGTACGCTTTCCCTACATCAATATCTCTTATAATTAAATAATAATACTAAATTCCTAATTTATTCTCTAAGACACTTATTAAATATTAATAAAATAATAATAATAATAATAATAATAATAATAATAATAATAATAATAATAATATATCCGCATCATCCTCCCCCGGTTCGGAAGGCTTCGCCCTCGAAGCCGGACCAAACGTGTCGACACCGAAGTCGTACCCATGCCAATCATCGCCCGACGTTTTCCCCTATCGATCACGAAAATTAGATGTCTCCCAACGTCCACCCTAGCCGACCCACACAACATAGGACCCTTACTTCCAACCCAAACACCCTCGGGCATCATAAAACTAAAAAATCCAACACCACCTTCATGGGGTATGAAACACGAATTAAAATATGACAAAACTGTGTCAAACTCATGCCCATGTAATTCTCTATACTGCACAATGCAGCCACCAAGAATCACATCAAATTCAACGGTATTAATAGCAACAAGTACAGCTTCATCCTCTGGCCTCGGAGGCTCCTCATCGAAAATCGACGGACCGTCGTACAATGGTTCGTCATGTTGTTCTCCATCCAAATCAGGAATGTCCACGCGAAACGGGCCCTCCCATGGACCATATTCGTGATCATGTACGCAATCGCGTCGGGCTCGATATCCGCCGGCGAAGGCAGCCTCCTGGCGCCTGCCTTTGTCGTCGCGTTGATCGTAGCCGTCCACGAAGCCGTTCAGAGGTGCTGGGGACCACTGCCGGGGTGCCCCGACATGGTTGCTTCCCCCATAACCGCCTCTGTCTCCCCCGCGAAAGCCACGGCCCACAGCTCCATCGCGGTTCGTTTGCAATTCCGAAACAACCACGTTGTTAAGCGTTAAATGCGAATCCTTGATCCCCTTCGAAAGATCGGCAAACAAATTCGTGAAACGCACGTCCAACTCTTGAAATCGGTAGTCAATCTGTTGAAACCGATCGTGGAAGGTGGCATCACGTTGGTTGTTTACAGCATCTTCTCGTCCCGGCGACATCGCGAATCGTACTGACTGCTGATACCAAGGAGATACTCTCTCCAAAACACTGGATACTCTCCCAAAAGAAAACACGATATCTTATTTCATTCAATATTTAACTCCCGTACATTCTGGCCAGACTGCTAATAAATAGAGTTCAATATCTAGGAGTCCCTAACTTGTCAAACAAGTAAATAAAATATCTTCCTAACCAACTAATCAAGATAATTAAGGAATAATAATAATAATAATAATAATAATAATAATAATAATAATAATAATAATAATAATAATAATAATATTAAACATATATATATTCTTATTTTTCGATCTACATCATATATTCTTATTTTTAAGGCCAAATTACCAATCTTTACAATTTTTTGGAGGATTGCACAAATCATTTTCGTCAATTTTCCACTTTTGATGGGTAAGTGCAAGTTTTTTTTAATATATATAATATTTTTTTTATTATTATAAACAATTAACATAATTTCATTTAATAATTATTGAAAACAACTTTAAATGAAAGTATTTTTTAAAGTTATTTTTTTGGAACTCATGACAATATCTTATTTAGATTAATGTTGGGACAAAAATCAAAATGAGATAAACCATTTATCTCTATTTTTAAGTTAGATTTAAGATTTTATGTCAGATTCAAATTGCAATATGTAAAAAATAACTAAAAATCAATTATAGACAAAATTTATTTTATTTTTGTTGGTGTGAATTAGATATATTACACACATCAACTCAAATTAAGTAACATATCATCATCTTCTGTTAGTCTTTCTAGAGTTGGATAATTCATATAATATTGTTCAAACTATCGGACATATAAAGGGTATAAAATTAAGAAGTAAGGGTCTAATATCCATGTTTGGGGTTGATATCGAAAATGATAGTTTTTTTAACGTGAAGGTATAATATCCAAGTTTGTGGTTATTATCGAAAATAATGTTTTATTAACGTGAATGAATATTCTACTAACCCACTTAGGCTTGATGTACTAAATTTATGGAAAAAAGTTAAA